TAATTTATTTAACGTGCCTGGTGTTGGAACACCAGTAACGTATGTCTATTTCGGCAGCAGGTGTGTTACGATGAATAGAGGTTGCAACTTGAGTAATGGAGGTGTATGATATTTCCAAGGCCAAATATTTGATCTCCAGTTTCCATAAACGGCACGACAGATCTACCTGAGTCTGACTGACCTGTTGTAACAAAACAAACTACAGAATGACCAAGAGAAACCCTTAGCCCCGTTACAATAGATAACATGCATAACTTTGACGGTGCATTGACAAAGCTAACATAGACTGGCTGTACCTTTCAGTCAGGTTGTAAAAGACAAGTTGTCTGGAGCTTGCAACCAAGTCAGTTGTTGATGGAAGTACATGTTTCGATTAATTTATTACCAACTGGTTGATTCTGAACAAAGAGTGTCAAAATGAGAACCAAAAGGATGACGGTTTCAAAGAGACTCGATGATGATCTTTTCGGGAAGAGGTAATACAAATCTCCGGTGGTAATAAAACCCCCTTATAAACACCCACGACGGGCATATGGATGAATGAAGCGAATAAACGGTTCATGGTCGGAATCAACAAAGGGTAGATGAATTAACAAGACAATAAGTTGAACATAATAAAAAAAAATAACCTAAGGATTTATTGTCTTGTCTTCTATAGAGAAAAGTGAGACGTACACCATAGCTCTAAAAACGCACGGACTAGATGCACACCATTTTAACAGAAACGTGAAACCCAGTCATCATCCAAGAGAACGTAGAAGAAAGACTGATATTGAGCGCTCCCACAACACAGGAACGATTCCAATGGACAGAAGGAGTAAATTCCCAAAACAGTAAACACACGCAATAGCGATACTGCGGCAGGAAGTAACAGAAAATTAGGTGATACGATAACAACGCTGAGAAGAATTGATTTTGTGCAAAGCGCTGATCACGAGACGGAGCTGGAGGATCACCTCGACAGCCAAGATAACGTGCAACACATGTGCACGGACAGAAGCGCGCATGTAACACATCTAGGTTAGTCGGTCTCCTCTCTCTCGCTCTCGCGCACGTGTGCGCCTGCGCCTGCGCACAAACCAACACATCCACAAACAATGGGCCGTATTTAACAGTACAATGTATTACAGCGTGACCGATCGAATCAGATGAGCACTAGCAAGAAGCCCAAGACTGCATATAGTGCACATCACGAAAAACTAGTTTGCATGAAGGCCAGCAAATGTATCCTTCGCACTGGGATTCATAAGTTCGTAATTACGGCCGTCTAAAATTACGGGTCGCAATACAGAACACAACTAGGCTGAAACGAGAAACTAACTGTCTGCAGTGGAGAATGAACCGTATCACAAGCTTGTACCACTATTATCGCGCGTTACGGTCTCAACTGTTCTGTGCTGGGTTACTTTTGGTCAGTCGATGGAGAATTAAAAAAAGAGCGCTACCAAAACAGATACACGGGTTACGAGGCAAGTAGACGCGTGTAGAAAGGGATTTTGATCTATTAAACTATGATCAGTGACTGGTTATTCTTCAGCACATGTAGAAGTTGGATAACCAAAAGAGAGCACACAAAGGAAATCAAAACCGTGGCAGATATCAACGTACCTTTTTAACCGATCGAGTGCCATAACAAAACTAGGTATTACCGAAATCACACTACGGTTTACCTATAATAAAATGTATGCATTGCCGGGACCAAAGTTGTTTGTTCCTAACAAAACTATCTCGGATAAATCTTTATGAAGCACCTTGAGTGAATCCACGCTGCATGAAAATTGGTCTAGGGTGTTTGATATCTCAGGAACGCAGGTCCAATGGGACATGATGAGGGAGCAGGAACTTTGGCCTGAGCAATCCGTAGTGTTTTTGGCAACATCGAATTTTGTTTTATAATTTGTGGATTGAAAGGGTACTACCTATCAGCACGGAGTCGATATCAGTAGAGTTCGAACCAATGTTGCCATGAATGCTGTAGCAAGATCGAGGAGTTACGGCACGTTGATGGCTTTTATGCAACACCTTTCAGTGTTGTGAAACAGATAAAATGAAAACGTGATGGCTGCATACACAAAAAATCACAGAAACAAACTAATTTTCGCTACACAGTGTAACAAACAATGACCTTACGATGTACCGGATTCCGCGAATCGTCAACAGACTACAAATATAATCGTTGTGAACGACAACTGAACAGCTGGTATCCAGTTCAGCTATGCGACCCTAATCACCTCACCTGAATATGGAAATCAAACAATAACTATGAAAGGGTAATTCTCCAAGCTCTATCAAGAAAAAAATAAGAACAAATAACTGGGTGCGTCACTTAGTGACCTCTCAGATGGTCTTGTAAATATGACACCTTTGTAGGAAGTAGACCTTAAACTAGTCGAGACACTTTAGTCTATTGCTTTGGCGAGATTCATTCAAGTTATTGAAAAACCTCGTTCATCTAAGACCGGTCTCAGTGATGGCAGAACGCCTAGGACATGTGCGACGAAGGAACCAATGAACTGTCTTTGAAGACCGAATAGATAATTCAACGCCTGGTTGGATCTCTTTAACTGCCAGATACAACCTCAGTATAGGTAACCTGGTACTTCAACATAATGACTAATATTCTAATGATTAGTGCATAAAAACGCACCCATTTCTGACATGCTAAAAGCAAAAGTTGTCAGTTTCCCTAACTCAATCAACATCACTGAAGTGAAGTGAAGGTCAAAGTCTATGACTGATCGCTGTCAAGCAAAACTGCGCTTTACAATGCATTGAATGCAGATCAAGACTGATGTGTCGAGTGTACCATGGTTACGGAACCACAACAGAGATAAAAACAACCTACATTTATTGCGAAAAACTTAGGATCAATAGGAATTGGGTCCAATCGAACGAGCTGCGGACAAACGTGGAGATACTGAATGCACACAAAAATCAACCTTCGCAAAATGCATCTGGGATTCATTTGAGTGAGTCGAAAGATAAATAACAAAATGATAAACCGAAGAACTGGTGAATCTTCTTAGGAACAGCTGAATGAGAGCACACGAAATTGATGGTCAATGTCAATTCTGTCCACGTATCTCTTCTTAAGAACAGTTATGAAACTTCCCCTCAGTTGTCGTGTGATAAAGAAAAACGCGTGAGAAAAAAAGAGATTAGGCGTACATAGGATTACTGTTTCGCACTTGGCATCTGTCTGATTCCATATATTGTAAAACAAACCACGATACAGCCATAAGGAAATTTATGATTTGTTCGCGAGGGCAATACTGCCAGGTAGACCATCCGAAAGCCGTCTACGATTAGCCGCATAAAATAGCGGACAGGCGAGTGAAGGCCAGAGCTCATTGTTGGCAGGTGTCTAGTCAGTCGGATCTTACTTCCTTAAAACGCGATTTGCAGTCCAGGGTGGTCAATACCTTCTATTGCCCAACCGATCCGGGTGACTAAGGACCAGGGCTTATCGGGGAATTTCCAAGCTTTTTCAAATGAGCTACCTCCCCATGTCTTACCAACCCGGCTATAGCCTCGAGTATAAGCTGGTCGCATTTTCGCTTTGGCAAAAAATCGTCGTCAGGGAACGTAATGAGCAGAAATCCCTTAGATGTTTTCCAACTACCACTTAGTGAGAAACAGAATGAGAAACCAAATACCGTCGGTGAAATTAAGCGATCGCTCCTTCAGCTAGTGCACCCAGCTAGTCTCAGGCGATCGGCAAAATAATCGCAATTTGAAAGGTATGCCTTGATTTCCGCACGTTCTCAACATTCCAGTCTTCCCTCTGCTCCATTATCCAAACGGGTAGCCTAAAGACAGCAACCAAAACCGTATCACGAAAATGCACAGTTGATGATTGTAAAAACTTGAACTGAAACAAGTTCATCTTGTTGAGAGAGAAGATGTTTATAGGTATGCATGATATGATATTTTCTCTGAAAGACTCTTTTCGTACAAAAAATGAAACGTTATTGAGTATGCACGGAATGATTTCGCAGGAGTATGCAAAGCGATTAATACTGTTTGTTATGCGGGTGTTGCAAATGATTGTAACATATCGGTAACGCAGCATTTGTGTACTGATTTCATATCAACACAGTATCATATTACATTATACAGACTATAGACGTGTTGGATAACCACATGAGCACTAATCGGGTCAACAGGAGAACCCATTGTTTTATAAAAATAAAGGGTCATAGTACCGTGAATTTAAAAACAGGGGGCAAGGAAAACAGTGACGAAAAAATTCAATACTACGCTAACTCATAAACGATTACACCCTATCAAGATTATTCATATAAAATCTAACGTTCACTTTGATCAGTGCGCAGTGTAGTTTGAATTGATGTAATCTGAACGCGACTCGGGAAGGTCTGGTGAAATATGCATTCTCTAATTAAGAAAAGACATCGTCGTCTTGAAAGTATGACAAATTCCGCGAAGTGCACATCAGCATTGCATGAAAAATGCTTCTTTTCATCTCTAGAAGTATTGAGACTCGGAACCACATCCCATGTCAGGCAGTCTCCGTTGGGGTCATTGAGATGATATATGATATAGCCGCGGGACGAAAACTGGGACACTGGTTTTCCTCCAAACCCACAGGCACACATGTACTCTATCCCCATTCTAAGTATTTAACTTCGTAAAACTCCTATTTGATATAAACTTACTCCTTTCCTTAGTGACGTACAATATCAATAGCTGAAAAACATCAAATAAAAGTGGATCACGGAGGTGCAGGGTTATCGGTTGTACAACCTGGCCTAGAAACCAAAACCACACCTCTAGAGAGCAGGTGCACAGGAGAGATATGCCCCCTGAGAATCTGCAATGCTGTTATGGACGACTAGGCTAGAACACAGAAGTGGGAACGGTTGAAACAGTTTAAATGATTCCTCTTTATTCCAGTGTAACCACATCATGTACGTAACAATAACAACATTCAAACCATATTCGGAGCATCGAAGTCACGGATCCTGGTATACAATTTCATCTCATGATGTAAGCGATAGTTCGGTCCTATTAAGAGGAAAACATCGCAAACAAAATACCGTCCAACCGAGAATGACTAAATGTAATGGGCAATCCTATGCACTAACAGATACACACACACACACACACACACACACACACTGTTTTGACATACCAAATGCGCTCGGCAGATGTGGAAATCACCGGGCTGGGTCGGATGGGAGTGGATGTCGTGTTTGAACTCGCTGCTGCTGTTGGACTGACAATCTGATGGCGACGAGCTTGCTCCAGCTCTTGTCGAATCGCATCGAATTCATCTAATAAACGCAAATAGTCAGATCTTGGAACAGTGTCCGAGTCCGTAGGAACAATAGCCGTGTGCCAATCCGTAGATAGATCTTTTAACAGGGGTGTAATCGCTTGATCAACACTCTCAGTAGATTGCACAAGTGGCGTTTTACGTGGTGTGCTCGAGGAGGATGGAGAGGGAAGGGGATCTGTGGGGATGTGTACAAGGTGACCAGTAGCGAAAAAATAAACCAATATCTAAAAAATGATTAGAACTCTTTCGAAACGACGTGAAAATCGTTAGGACTTAACAAAACCGATAATCTGAGAAAATTCTTGGTCCATTTTGTATCGTAGTAGATAGTCTGGCACTTGGAAATTGAAGAATTAATGTGGACAAAGAAATTTCGATATTCGGATTTTGCTACCTCTCGGTACAGTGACGAAACATCACAATCGATTTAGACTTGTGTCCGTTTGAACCGTGCCGGCACCCGGCAGGTAATAAGCAAAACATAATCTCGAACAATTCAGAGTTAATTTGATTCTCGCAGGTGGAACTAATGAGAAAGGTGACTACCACAACTAGTGCTAAATTAACCCTTGCTAAACAACATAAACAACCCTAATTTGCTATACCACTTCACTATGTGCATTTTTTTCTCCCCTAATCCAATCACAGCTATGGGGGACATTGGAATTTTTCATTGGAGACGGAGCAGGTTCCAACTGAATGGTGTGAATCAGTCTTATTGCCGATTTACAAGAAAGGTGACAGATCCTCTTGTATAAATCACAGATGAATTAGTTTAATCAACATCGTCTCTAAACTTCTAGCTGGTAGTATACTCCGTCGATTGTTTGCCGCACGTGAATAGTGCACGCGTGAGAATCACGCTGCTTTTAGACCTCGCCATTCCTGTCTTCCTCGATCTTTCGACTCAGTCGAATGCTCTATACTCTAGCGATACCTATCTCTGCCCGAGAAGTTTATTTCAATATTTACACTAATAGCCGAAGCTCAGTCCGAGCTTACGGCAGTTTTTCGCCCGAGTTCACCACAGAAAATGATGCTCGTCAAGGCTGCCTTCTCCCTCCTTTTCTATTTAACTTTGCCATAGATTTAATTCTTGAAACGGACCTATCCTCATGCGAGGATATCGCATTGATTCGCTCCCAACTGACAGACCATCTGATCTGAAGTATGTGGATGGTATGGTCCTACTAAATGGAGATCCAGGTTAGTTGCTAGCTTTTCTGGATAGTTTAAGTGCTAGTGTATCTATGTTTGGTATGCGCTTTGCACCTTCAAAGTGTAAGACGTTGCTACAAGATTGGGTAGACCCAGCCCTAACCTCACCCCGATTGGGGAAGTAATAGAGGAAATAGATAAATTTGGCTATCTGGACGGCTATATCTCACCCGGCGGACGAGTCACAAATGAAGTGTCGACACGCATACAGAAGGCTCGGTTGATGTTTACCAACTGGAGACATCTGTGGCGCTGTCGCGACTTCCGGCTGTACGCTGGTTGGGGCATATGTTGCGCATGCCGCCAAATAGGTTGCCACGACGAGCGATGTTGGCCGAGGCAGTTGGCGAATGGAAGAAAGTCAAGGGTGGTTAAACTAAGATCTGGCATAAGAATACGAAAACCCTAACCAGGACACTGGGTCACATAGGTCCCGTTAAGGCTCCCTGGATGGGGACCCCGAGAGCATGGTAACCGGTGGTTAGAGGCACTGAGTGATAGGACTGTGTCTCAAACAGTGTCGCTTGTGCATCTACTGAGTATTTTTTCAATCCCAGGCTATATGAGCTCCATCTTCCCCTTGAATTTGCTTTCAATATTCTAATCTTCATTCTGCTCTTTCATCCTAATGGACGGCCAAAAGACAGCAACCAAAACCGGTGCATGCAATTGCATGAATAATGGTTAAAAAAACTGAAACTTGAGGGATGGAACATGATTTAAACAGAACAACCAAACTAAGACGGTAATGGTGCAAAGCTTCAATTTCGAAATTCATTTGGAAGCCGGCGTCCGGTTGGCTGGATAATAAACCCTTCGGAAGGGACGACTTTCTAGTGTAGCCACTATATGCCCGTGTTACCAAAGTAATCTAATGAAAACTTGCTCTATCTAGCGAATAATTATTATGCACTCTAGAAATTAGCAAATGGAGAATGGATCCTTTCCATTTTGGCAGTGGAAAAGTTCAAAATTCGTCGAGAAATTTTGAAATCCCATTTTTCCATTCACAAATATTTCTTTCTAACTAGTTTCTAGATTTATCCGCGCACGTGAACTGCTGCTTCC